CCTCTAGCAGAAGGCAGCAGTGCTGGGGAGCTGCCCTGCTCTTCGCAAAGGGAGGGGAGGAGGGCTCCATCCGTGGGCTCCATCCGTGGGCTCCATCCATTGCCTCCCGCCATGTCTGTGGCCTGGGGAACACCGTGCCCTTCTGCAGCGTCCCCGAGGGTGGGGAACCACAGCACGTGGGCGACGTGGGACGTACAGAGGGGGGAAAGGAGCCCGAAGGGGAAAGGGAGCTGCTGCTGGCGTAAAGGAGGCGAGGAGCCCGCTTTCCGGAGGAGCTGCAGGCAGAAGGCCTGGCTGGAAGCGGGGCTCGGGCAGCGCCCGGCCATGGCTCACCTCCGCTGTGGGCACCCGAGCAGCGCAGCGCCCGGCGCTTCATCGCCCTTCCCAGCAGGCGGGCGTCCCCGCAGGTGCAGAATGCGAGCAGTGCCCACAGCAAAGTGCTGAAATGGAGGTAGCCCCTCAGACCTCCGGGGGTTTTCTGGGGGGGAAGGAAGATGCAGAGAATGCCCCAGGCTGAAACTGTGAAACCAAATTGCGGCGATGCCCTCGCGTGCCCCTGCGCGGCCCAAAACCTACTGACAGCAGGCTGCTCCCCTGGGAGCCCCTCACCACGGCGGTTTGTGAGGGCTGCGGACCCCCGGGTCCCACTGCAGCCAGGGCCACGGCGAGTTTGGGCACCGCGGCCATGCCTGGGGTCTCACTGACCACCCCCAGGCAGACCTGAAAGCGCGCTGGTGTCACCAGCACCCCCCCGATTCCGTCCCTGGCCCGGACGATCTCCTCTCCCCACCCACGGCACAGGAAACCCCCGATTTCTGCTCGGGGCGTCTCCAGACTGCGAGAGCACGGTGCCATGGGGAACCAGAGCCCTCCCGAGTGCAGGCTCTGCATGCCCAACACCAAGCACCGAGCGTTTGGAAGCAGCGGTTCCGGGGGCTCTTGTTGGTTTTTTTTCTCTTCCAGATGGACGGCCACGATCATCAAAACCCACAGTCACCGAAGATGAAGCGATTCCCCTGATAAACCGATGTGCGCCTTCATCAACTCACTGCACATTCCTTTCCTTTCCAACTAACTATTCACTTTATTAGAGATCTCATTTATTTTTTCCCCTGACAAATTCTTCACAAAGCAAAATATTCTTTTTACCATATAGGTATCTTGTTTCAAATCCAACCACTTGATTGGCTTTTTCATTAAACACAACTGGTTTTGCCCGTCCCGTTGCGGGGGTTCACCCATCCGGTTCGCTGTTGTGGCAGGGTTGTGCCCACGCTGCGGGTGCAGCGCTCGCAGGGTCGGGTGCTGCCCAGGTCTGGCGGTCAGCGTGCTGAG